GCTGCCCCTGGCACAGTGCAGCCTGTCTTCTACGCACCAGCCCCACGCCCAGCCCTGCACCCACCTGCTGCCCTTCAGGCTGCCATCATCCGAGAGTGCTTTGGAGGAGCCTTTGTTCTTGGAGAGCCAAGACTTCACCCCATCCACGCGGTCCTCCAGCTCTGAGTCCACATCAGAGTCGCCGTCGCTGCCAGAGAAGCAGGTCAGGGTGGAAGAAAGCAAGAGGTGAGCATGGGACAGTGAGATTTTGGGTGCTGGAGAGGCAAAAGTGTGACAGAAGGCACCAAACACCATCCAGCACCCACTGCCTGTGTAGTCCGGCAAGGGTGAAACCTCATCCCTTGGTCCTGCTCCATCTCTGGGGCATAACCTGCATGCACAGATCTCAACCTGCATGCGAGGGGCTCCCTCAAACACCCCCCAAAGCCCTAAACCACCTCACTGCCCACCTAAGGGACTCCTGCCCAATGTGTCCCCCCAGTACTGCACAGCTCCAGGGCTGCAGACAGCAAGGCCAGCATTGGGGCAGCAGGCAGGTTAGAGCTCCCAGAAACACAGGAGATTTCCAGCTCCAGGACTGGGAAGGAAATAAGTGGGTTCATTTTATAGGCCACCGTCGAGTGCAAAATTACAGCGAGGAAGAGCGATGCTGATGGCCCCAGGTAAACAGGAGTTTAGCAGGCGGAACAGAAACGACTCCGGCACGGCAAGTGCAGGAGCGTGGTGGGCAGATTTACAGCCCTGCCGCGCCGGAGAGCCCCTGATTTACGTCCCAGCGTAAAAAAAGTCCTATCTGGCTTAAACCATCTAATTTATAATGGCTGTTCGTAACCATATTGATTGCCTTTAGAAAGAAGGTGCTGTCTGCATTGCAAAATCCATTCCTCCACGTTAAAAGCATCCCTGAATAAATCTCCCTTAATACCTCACCGCTTACTGCTTTCATTTGGGTTATGGCAGGACCGGCGGGATCTATACGGAAATCGAAGCGGCGTGGCCCCCTCTCCCCACCCTGCTCCCTCGGAGCAATGCTCCCACTGAGCTGCTCTGGGGAAGGGATATATCACAGGATCTTAAATAGTCTTTTATCCACCCGGTTTTGGGCTTATTCCCTGCCTGGTGGCAAACAGCACAAGGGACTGGCTAGGATAGACCCTGTGTATGTGAATTCTTCTCGTTAAATTCAAAGCAACGAGCCGCACTCCATCCTGTGCATCTCCCTCCCCTGCAATACATCCAGGCAACGCTGGGCTTGGGGAAAAAAAACAACACAAAAACACAGAACGATACCAAAAAACCCCCAACGAGCCCCCAAAACAAACTGGGGGGGCAGTGAATGTTTTATAACCATTGGAATTAAACTCCACGTCAAACACTGTTTATGTCCAGGCAAACGTGCCGTTAGTTAAGCAGGATCCAGATGGTGGGAGCGACCACAGATGGGGATATTAATTTGTGGCTCCATCGCTGCCCCACGCTGACACATCATCAGCCATGGCAAAGCATCACCCCCCACCCCATCCCGGGGGCTCATCCCGTCCCCCCAGCGTGGGATGCAGTTATGTCCTGTGCCGTGCTGTGTCGTGCTGTGGGTGCTGTTAGGGCATGCAGAGCTGGGCCAGTGGCATGCGGGACCCCGGCCCGTGGGGGTGAGGTGTGGGTTAGGGGAGGGGAGGAAGGAAAGAGATGCTCCTCACAGTTTACTCTTTCTTTTCTGATACTTTGCCACCATGTCCTGCAAACTGGGAGGGGTTGGGGGTGGGTTGGGGGTGGGAGAAACACAACAGAAACGAAATCAAATGAAAGTAAAATCAAAAAATAATAAGATCAAGCAGGTAGGGAACAGATGAGGGAAAATTAAACGGTGGGGAAGGGGCAGGGGAGGGAGGTGAGGATGCGCTGCACCCCTGGCATGGGGCCGCACCCAGCTGGATCCCAGTATCCCAAGTGGAGCATGTCCAGAGAAGAGCAACGGAGCTGGGGAAGGGTCTGGAGCACAAGTCTGATGAGGAGCAGCTGAGGGAGCTGTAGAGGCTCAGCCTGGAGTAAAGGAGGCTCAGGGGTGACCTCCTCACTCTCCACAACTGCTTGACAGGAGGTTGTAACCAGGTGGTCACTGACCTCTTCTCCTCGGAAACAAGTGATAAGACGAGGACATGGCCTCAAGTTGTGCCATGAGAGGTTTAGATCAGATATTAGGGAAAATTTCACCATCAAAAGGGTGGTCAGGCATTGGAACAGGTTGCCCAGGGCAGTGGTGGTGTCACCATCCCTGAAAGCATTCAAAAAATGTGTGGATGTAGCTCCTGGGGACATGATTTAGTGGAAACATGGCAGTGCTGGGTTAATGGTTGGAGTTGATGATCTCAAAGGTCTTTTCCAACCTAAACAATTTTACATTTCTATAACTCTATCCTGGGCTGGGCTGGATCCCAGCATCCCAAACCTCCTGCCAGCTTGTGCTGCCCTGGCTCCTGGGGCTCCCTGGGCTGTTTCCAGCTAGCTGGCATGGCCCTGGCTGCATTTCAGGCACCTCCACAAGCTCATGGGGGAGAAGCTCACAGGGGCTGCAGGTGGATAGAGGGATGGATGCACAAGTGCACAGACTGATGGCCATGTCCACAGGTGCCTGATGTACGGACGGACACACTCAGGTGTGCATGGACAGATGCACATGTGCACGATGCAAGGATGGATGTCCAGACAGCATCCTGCCAGGGCCAGGCAGAGCCGAGGGGAACCTGTGGCATTCGAAGTGGCGAGGGGAAGCAGTGAGCCCTGGGGACATGCCTCGTGTGGCAGCCATACCCAGGTGTTCTCTCACCTGTTGATGAGGTCCTCATTGCTATCACTCTCCATCTCGTCCTCAATGGCTGCCTGCAGGTCCCCAATGCGCTTGAAGGCCAACTTCAGGTCTGACTGCAGGCTCTGGTTGGCAGCTTCCAGGCTCTCCAGGTCCATCTCCTGCAGGGAGGGAGCGCGGGATGAGCTGGGTATCCTGAGGAATCTCCCCCAGTCCCCTGTCCAGCTCCACCCCGGGTGCCTCACCAGCTCGTGCTTCTTGCGGCTGGCCTCTGCCTCCTTCTTAGCCAGCTCGCCCATCTCCTCCTTGACATCGCGGAGCTGTCGCTGCAGCCGCTTGTTCTGCTCCTTCTCTCGGTTCTCGGCGGCTGCGCGCTGATCCCGCTCCTCCGTCAGCTTCTCCATGTTCTCCTTCAGCCGTGTGGCCAGGCTCTGTGGAGTGATGGGGTCACCCCAGAACCCCCTATGGACCCCTCATCCTGCAGGCCTACCCTCACCCCAACACCCACCAAGGGCTGCTGCAAGCAACATATCCCATGCCTGTGAATTTACCCAAGGAGATGGAGGAGAAACCACCACCCCTCTGGGCCAGGGAAGGGGCAGAACAACAGCAAGGGCTTTGTTGAATTGGAAAAATAGATTTAACTGTGTGTGAAGTAATTAAAGCATGTAACGTAGGGAAAAAATAGCTCCCGTTCTCCCTCAGCCACTGAGACCGACCCTGCATATTTATGGCCCCCGCAGACAGA